GGAGCCAACTTGACAAAAAAGCAAGTCAGGTGAAAAGATCTCTTCCAGAGCACTGTTTCTGTACTTCAGCACTGTAAAGCAACATCTACTAAATAAATCCCCATTCTGTTTTAGGTCTGAACTCATCATGCACAGAATGTAATGTGACAGTATAGAACTGACAATAATAAATTCAGTCAGTAGCCTGAACATAAAGCAGTAATTCAGTGTCTTGGTTATTTTTGCTGTGCCACTTGAACTTTCTACTCAGCAACAGATAAATCAGCATGGAGATGACATCAGTAAGGCTGCACAGGCCATAGAAATGTAAAAGCTGACCCATGGCTTTATAGGGCAGTATTTCTGCATTCACTGTCTGAAAGCAGGTTTCAGCTCCTCATCCCAAACCGTGGGCCTGTCTTTATAGCACACAGAAAGGTGTAAGAATAAACTTACAGCTACTATAAATTGCATCCTCTCCTTGAAATACATATTTTGTAGCCTTGGAATCAGCATGTTAGTATCATATATGAAATTACTAAAGTTACACAACAGCACCCTCAGGTATAGTACCTGCAGAAACAAAAAACTCAGCTTTTTTGACTGCAAAAAAAAAAAAAAAATACCACTTAGAAATAACATTTCTGGCACTATTTGATGAATCAGAGAAACGTAGACAGAGTTTTTCAGCAAGACAATAGGTTTATTTCATAACTGTTGCATTTTTGTACTTGATGAAAACTTACCACAAATCACCTCTTACATTTAGATACAGTCTTCTGGAAAGAAAAATAGTCTACACTACATACACCGCATTCTTCCAGCATCTTCGCAATGCATGAACACAAATGAACTTGCTGCAATGCTGAAAATTGTATCCATCTTTGCATAGTCTCTAACCCCAGCAGATTGTTGAGGCCAAACTGTCTGACTGATACTGAGGAATTAAAGCATCAAGCTGACTTTTAAAACATACCACAGCAATAGCAGCTCTTTGGTGCTCTCTGTGATTCATTTATATAAACCTTCTAGAGAACTAAGGCTACAATCACAGTGCTTTCTGCCAAGAAACTTGCTCCCTAAAGCCACATTTACAGGAAAACAGGATGATAAACGTATCTATTGTACTGACGTGAAATTTTGCACAATCATTCCATTTGTTTTTCCTGAAAATAAACGTTGCTAAACACGAACAAAAGCCTTCCTTTTTTATAATAAGCACAAGACACTTCATCTTCCTTTGCTCTTCCTTACTTGGAGTTAGCTTACAGACAGTATTCTAGAATATACTTGCCCTATCATCTGTCTTTCCATTTGCTTCTTCCTTCTTTACATGCAGTTTGTCTCAAATAAAAGGCTGGGATGTACACACTGGTTAACTAGGAAATCAAAGACACTATTTTAATATTGGCTCACACACTTCCACTGTAATCAGAATACTGAGGATTTTATTTTTAGAAGGCTTAGACACTGAACTCCAGCTGAAGTTAATCAGAGCTGTGAAAACTGATAACATGAAATTGCGCCCTGTCTGCTGCACTGTGTCAGATTTTGTATTGCAGTTGCTCCTGCAGCTTTTTATCAACATCTGTCTTTTTAAGTACCCATGAACAGCTTACTAGTTGCAAATGAAAATATATTATTCTTTTAAACAATCATAGTGCCAGGACCATCTGCTTGTTTAAAGAACGTGTGCCTTAATACCTGCAGCATATTTTTCTCTGAATCATTGTCTGACCTGTGGAACTATCACCTGTTTAAGTAGGTACCTATTTACTACTATGTAGTAATATTGCCCTAGAAAACTGCTATCCAGCTTGTCGTGTCTGGCAGCATTTATCTGAAACTGTCCGAGCCATTAGGCAGGTGAATTCTGAGTGGAAAATATTAACTAGATTGTTCTATTTGCAGAAGAATGAGGGTGACAGCTAAAAAAAATATTGGGACTTGGCAATTAGAAACTGCAATACCAGGAATTAGAAGAGTTTTACATTATAGTGTGTCACAGTTATTTTCCTGGTAAGAAATTTAAACCTTCAGAGTCCTGCCTGTGTACTTTGTTTCACACTGGTTATGGGAACACAGTGATTTTTCTAATACTCCCATAGAGTACCTTAATGCCTGGTTGTTTCTCTGAATACTGGCAAGTACTTTTGCAACAAGTGACAGATTTTAAGTAGAAAAAGTGAGATTTCTTTCTACCTGCTAGCACCCATTATGGGAGGTTTCATGCAAACATATTAGGAAATGAAAAACACAAAAACTGAGGCACCCTTTTCCACGCACAGTTGTCAGCAATCAGAAACCGGTAGAAAATTCTATGTTTTGGCAAGTCATTAGGTTTTGGCAGATTATTTGGAACCAAAGCTAGACCTTTAGCGTTTCCAGAAACACTGGCTGCATTCAACAGTGGCTGAAAGGAACCGGTGCATTCAAGTGTCCTCTGCGATCACAAGTGACAGCTCTTCATCTCTCGGAAGTTCTGGGACAGAAGCTGGGATCTGATGGCATGGGGGTAGCAGCCATAGCGTGTCCTGCAGCATTAGCATTTGCTCCACTGATAAGATTTTCAAGGCCAGCTGAGAGACAAGGCAGTTTCTTAGAGATTAATTATCTCCTTCTGCAGTATGTCCTTGGCAACAGTGATTCCAGAGTTTTCAGTGGGAAACAAGTCAGACATAACTCTCTGTCCCTCGGGTACTGCATTTCTGTTGTTACAGCAGCTGTGGGAGAACCCTAGGCTTTGAAAAGCCATGCTGCTGAGGAAGAAGGGATGCAGCAGCAGCACATATTCCTAAAGCTATCAAAGAACAGAATGAACCCCTCTGTATGGACACAAGGCTCAAAGAAAACTTACCAAGATGAAAAATTCTAACATCTATACCTGAACAAGGTTCCCCCATCAAAACAAAGCAAAGTTAGCCAGCATGGCATTCCTTCTGAGGTGTGTTCCTTCTTTAATCTATCTCCTTTCCCAAAACCAAGCTTTTTCTTCTGTCAAACCCTCCTGTTAACACAGGAGTGCCCCAAGGTATCTGAGACACTCCCAAGGCTCTCTAAAATAACCTGACATCATTAGCTCTAAATTAATCACAAAAAAAGTCCAAATCTTCACTGAGAAAATACATCAAAAAGGACTGAAACTACAAATCTAGAAAGACAGCCTAGCTTCAGGATACGACTTCACTCCTATTATTTTTATACTGAAAATGAAACAAATGTTAGCATTAAAATAAAAATAAACTGTCCAGAGTACAAAACTTGGGCCTATAGTACAACATTTGTACCACAAAAAATAGTAAATTCTCACACATACAACCAGTACAAGTGGTTTAGTATTTTCTAACACTGCATGTTTTCTCACAAAATCCATGTCTATTAATCCATATTTTTAAAATAGCTTGCTTTACATTCCACATTTTGCAGGGGTTCAGCTTTTAACAAAATTCCAGTGATTAAGCTTGTTGGCAAGTATGATCAAAAGCTGATCTGAGTAGCTACTGGATACTCCGAATGGAAAACAAACCTTATACTCAACAAACATGCATCTGGTAATAACAGCTGCAACTGCACTCATAGAAATGAAAAATACATCAAACTCAGCACTCCATCAGAGCATTTAAAATTAGAAATGCTTGAAAAAAAATAAATGTTCGTAAACAAGCTATTCTTGAAGAACAAGAAAGTATTCAAATAATGTGAATGGCGTATATGACAAAATTAACCTACTTAAAGACAACTTAAACCCCAAACAATTCTACAGCATGAATTCCTTGCCTAGATTCCACCAGAATCAAGAAAAATCTGCTTTACAGGGAATTAAGGCATCCATACAAGTTGAATAATATCAAGTCAGACTCCACCATGGAATACAGACTGAGCCTTCTGTCCCTTTGGACCACAAAACCTTTCAGAATTATGCTTAAAACTATCTCAAATCATCTGCTTAAGCTTAAGAACTACAGAGAGTACCTGCTGTCTGTTGCCGGTATTACACAAGCCCCTGCATGGGCTCCGTTCTCATGGGTGTACTTTTACTACGGAAACTGACAAATTAAAAATACTGGTAATAAATAACTGTGCAGTAAGACACACTTATACACCTGTGTGTGGGTACACCTTAAAGGACAGGTTTTTTCAGCAGGATAATTCCAGCACAGAGGTTCTCCATCTGTCACATGTGCCCTTTTGGAGAAGTGCAGACAAGAAAATAATTATGGAAGGGCAGTTTGTTTCTGCTTGGCTGAGAACCAACTGAGTGCATATGAGAAAAGTTAGCAGGGCCCTACTAGATTTATGAGCTCAGCTTAATTTCAGAAGTGCTTCACTAACAGCATGGGCAGCGTCACTGCATAAACTGGTTATGCAAACATATCCAACTGCTTTCCTCGTTTTGTTCCCTTTAGCATTGTAGGTCCTGTTGTGCCTCTGGAACACAGCAGTCTGTGTTCCCACACAACAAACACAATCATGGAACTACTCTAGGTGAAATCAAATGGCTTGCTTCGTGGTGGCTCATCACACAGCCACACTCATAGAATAATTGCATGGCTTGGGTTGGAAGGGGCCTTAAAGATCATCTAGTTCCAACCCCCTGCCACAGATGGGGACACCTTCTATTAGACCAGGTTGCTCGAAGCCCAGTCCAGCCTGGCCTTGAACACTGCCAAGGATGGGACAGTCACAACTTCCTTCGGCAATCTGTTCCAGTGCCTCACCACTCTCACAGTAAAGAATACTTTCCTAACATTCAACCTACATCTCCCCTGCTTAAGTTTGAACCCACTATTCCCTGCTGGAACAGAAGCAGCAGTGGTGCAAACCTGTGACTGAACAAAAGCAGCATTAAACATATTACACAGATTCCAGTAGCTGCTTCAGAGCATTTGTGACTTAGGTGGAATATCTAAAAGCCCACTTTGAAAACACATATGCAGATTAATGTTAATCTCTAAAATTTGATTCATATTTAATGAAAAGATAATGGGACAGATTATCCTTCAACAAAAACAAGGGAAATCTTGTAATTCTAAATTCTATTTTAATACTTGTATTTCAGCACATAAAGCCCTATTCAGGTATTTAATTCAAAGTGGATAATATCAGATGAGAAGCAAGCCTGAAGCGATGATAAAGTCCATTATAAATTCTCAAATCACATCAAGACGAACCAGCACAGCAGTTACAAAGGGTCTCAGCCAAAACCCACCAGGGCCCCTACTAATTCCGGGGAACAGTGGACTGGCCTGCAAGGCAGGATGCCACGTGTGTGCCAGTGGGCACAATGTTTCTTCATATACTGAGCTGGTCCTTCACCTCCTGCATTTTAGAAAAACATGGATTAGAATTAATAAACCAAACCAAACCAAAAACCCAAATCAAACGAACACCCCCCTCTCCCCCCCCCAAAAAAAAAATCAAAACCACCAAACCCACAGCATATGAGGCTGTTAAAATAGGTGAACCGGGTTTCCCTCTGCAGCCCCCCACCCGCAGTACACAAGGTCCAGGCCAAGGAGGGGGCACGGGTTACCATAGCAGCACCCTACCGAATCCGACTGTCACCGGCCCCACAAGGGGGACACCGGGCCCTGCCTCTCCGTATGTCCCCCTCCCCCGCTGCCTCAGTTTCCCTCCCGCAAGGGAGCTGGGGGAGCGGGTGCGGGTGGCAGCCGGAGACGTGCTCGGGGACTCCACGCGTTAAGTCGCCGTCCCCGCCACGCGGCGCAGATGGCCCATGCGCGTGTGAGGGCTGCCGCCCGTCCGGTACCTGTCGGGAGAGCAGGCGGCGGGTAAAGGAAGGGAATCCCCGTCACCGTCTACTCCCCATTAACCTTCCCCGCCGCCGCGCCAGCGCGACGGCTCCTCCAACTCCAACCCCCCCCGCCCCTCCGCCGCTCCCCCGCCGGCCAATCGGAGCGCCGCGCACGTGACGAGCGTTCCCTTCGATGACCTCATCCCTGGTGTGGGATGACGTCAAATTCAAGATGGATGGAATCACGGCGGCGGCGGCGGCAGCAGCGCGCGCGGGCTGAGCCGTGAGAAGGAGGCGCCGTAAGGGGGGCAGCAGGGGTGGGGCGCGGCCGGCGGCGGAGAAGGTGAGTAACGGCCAAGCGTCGCGCCCGCTCCGGGGGCTGCCCGCGCCGCGCGGGTCTCCCCGTGTACAAAGGCGTCTTTTCCTGACGTAACTCTGAGGTGGTGTTTTTTTTACCTCCCCTCCCCCCTCACCGAGCAGGGCTGCGGTCCCTGAGCCGCGCCGCGCGCATGCGTCGGTTACGAAACTCCCGTCGTTCGCCTTCCCCCTCCCCCCCCCCGCACCCGGCGCATGCTCCCTGCGCATTGAGGAAGCGGCGGGTGTCCGCCGCCGACGGCCACATAAGACTCGCTGGGGGCTGCCTCCTGCGCATGCTCCGGCTGCCCATCGCGCGCGTGTGATGCGCAGCCCTCCTTCCTCCGCCCCTTTCCCTCCCCGCACGGCCGGAGTCCCGCGCAACTGCGCCGGCGCGGCTGTGGGAGGGCGCGTGTGGCCGTGCTCCTACTTTACGCGCATGTGGGGTGGTGTCGTTGGTGGATGCGGAATTTCGCGCAATTGCGCCTGCGCCCCGCTTGGGGTTGGGTGGGGTGGCGGGAAGGCAGGCGCGAGCGGCTGTACGCCCGCCCGCTCGTGTCGTTCCCCCACCTTCCCACCTCTACCTGCGCGGGCGGGAGGGTGGCGGCATCGCCTCAGGAGGAGGTTGTCCAGCCCCGCCGCGCCGCAACGGCCGCGTGAGGAGCCGCCGGGACGCGGCGCCGCGGAGGCTACCGGCGCTTCCGCCTGTGGGGCTGCCCCCGGGCAGGTGCCGGCTCCGGTCTTGAGCTGTGAAACATGGCAGAGGAGCCAGGGGGGCTGCGTCTCGGTGCTGTAGGTCCTCCCCGGTGTGTCTTGAAGGGAGAGCCGCGCTAGGCTGCGCGTTTCAGGGCGGAAAGCATCCCAGCAAGGTTCCTGCGGCGTATAAGTACATGCAGGTATTAAAGTGTAGCCTGACTAGTCCAAGTGTTCTCTGGCTGTGTTAGTCATGAGGAGAAACGAGTATCTCGTAATCTAGCGGGAAAGTCCTTCCTCTGGACTGCACAGCAGCGTGTGCTATGCCTGCAGAAAGCTATGGGAGGTGTTTGACCTGACCACAGCTGTCAGACAATCTTACTTAAGTCCAAACTGTCACTGTATGTCCAGATTGGATGCAGCTCATGTGAAGTACCGAACGGCAGGAAAACTCAAAGGAGTTGTTACTGAGACAGGAAATACTGTGGAATCTCATTCTGTCCTGAGTAAGCTCTTAATAATGAAATGGCACTTGTTTTAAAAGTTGTCTTTTGGTTGTAGTGGGAGTAAGCAGTAGGTAGGCAGCATGTTTAAGAAGATTGTGGAGAATTCCATACGGTGAGGATCTTGTAGTTTAATTATAGATAATATTGTTATCCTTAGAAAAAAGATTTTGTGAATATAGATTTATTTTTTTTTTTTTGTACAACAAGGTTTTCAGTACTAAATGAGGGGTAATAGATGTGTGTTACAGGTAAACATATTGCTTTTTGTTTGTGTTGCCTGAACGCTGCCAGTTACAGTGTTCTGTTCTGACTTTGCAGTAACTGACAAACCAACTGCTTCGACTAAAATTTTCCAGCAGGGTTATGATGATGTTCTTAAGGGGAAGTTTTGAGCAAACTTTAGCAACTGTTCTTATAAACCTCGTTGGCAAAAAACCCACAAATTATGTGGCCATCTTGGTGGTGGAAGGGCATCTGACATCGCTTTTTTTCAGAAATTTTATTATCCACATGCTGTATGGTTGTAATCTCATAAGAACGTTTGGTTTACCTGTAGGGAGGCCAGACATCTGAAGATGCTGGGAACATCTAAGGAACTGTCATTTGCATGTTCTTAGCAGGGACTTGCAGGGAGATGTCACAAATGACAACCTGTGGAGTTTTCAGCTACAACGATGTGTGCCAGACCAGAATTTATCCAGGGGTTCTCCAGCTCTGAGCTCCCCTGTGCCCACTGGTGTGAAGATGATCCCTTGGGCACAGAACTGAGTGACCATGTCTTTTGCTCTCAGTGGTGTTCTTGCTCCTTCACTAAATTTCAGTATTGCCTTGTGATCCCAAACAGGATTAAAGTCATAATGAGTTAGGTGCTTTTTTTACTGCATAAGGTAACTTACCCTTTAGTATATATTATCATTTATTTGATGTAAAAAGAGGCAATAGATTCTAAGTTCCTGAGGTCCTTTTTGCATTCTACCTTTAATTGTACACCAATGTGATATATGTTGATATTTGCACTTCCTTTTCCTATTGTGTGGGTTCCTGGTGGCAGGGTGATACTTAGTCAGGTGACTCAAATTCAACATGCTTCTCAGTCAGAGAATGCTGCAGATCACTAGAAGCTTGATATCGCTAAGAGATTGGGGTTTGTGAGCTCATGTTTTTGTGTCTGTGATGCTAGAGAATACCGATATCCAGAGAATTAAATAGTTGGTGCTGTGATCTTATAGTAGTGCTGACTATGCTTTCCTTAAAATTAGAGGCACGCTGATGTTTGGGTTTAAAGGACAACTTTACAGGAAGACGTGAGCTTTTTTACCATATTGAGGTTGTTTCTTTTTGAACTTCAGTAGCTGTGAAGCAGATACCATAAAAATAACATCAAGTAATTTCCCATTACAGTATTCAAGATTTTGACAGTTGTTTTATCTGAGAAATAGTGATAAGTATGGTCTATAAACACGTGTAGACTTCCAGGGTGGAGGAAGGAGGAGCTGGGAGAGGAAGTTGTAACCACCATATGGTTCGTACTGCACTGGGAGGTACTATGCTCTGAGTCACACACCACAGTTGCAGCTATTTCCAGCTCTCATTAAAAGAAATTATCAACTTCTGAGCAAGTGAGCTGTTTCATAATGAACTCTACTACGTTTAATGATCTGCAATGCTTGGTGGGGAAGAAAAAGAAATCTTGAGAGGCAGCAAAATCTTTTGTTGCAAGTGGAAAGATTGCAGTATGCCCTGATTTAAAATGTAGGTTCTGTGCAAAGGGATTTGCTTTCCCCAAATATTTATAGTATAGATTGACTATTAGTCTATGTACTGTCATATTTTTTCCTTTTTTTTTTCTTAATGGTGGTATTTAAGACAACAGTTCTCTTACATTTTCTTTCATTCAGCAGTGAAATAAAAAAAGTAACGATCTGTTGTCTTTGATTATTGGCTATTTTATGTATTATGTTGTTCCAGAATAGTCTGGGCATAATTTATGAGCAGGAAAGGAAATGTTACGCAGTAGTTCCACCTTCCTAAACTCATTTTGCCTCCACCGCTACCACCATCAGTTCAGCAGCCTTACAGACCATCAAAATAGAATTTTATCACCTAGTCCTGATTGTTGAGGGGATTTTCTTGCTGAGATTTAGTGAACACACCTCTGTTGTACAAAACCTTTCTTACAATCTGTGATGAAAAGGCATGAAAAATCCTTTGGCCAAATAATTTCAAAAAAATGTTGTAATGCTGTGTCCTGTCATAGTAATTTGTATACAGTCAAATTGCAGTCTTCAGGAAAGGAAGAAGTATTTTCCCTTTTTTTTGTCTCAGAGCATTAATCTCCTTATCCATGGTTTGTCCTACATCAGCACTTTAGCGGTGTGAGTAATCTTTAGGTTGCAGTTCATTCTCAGTAATCTCTTTTTGATAAGTTGTGGTGAGCACAGAGACAGTTCTTACATGGGGAACAGCGGCTGTCTCTGCCACTCTGCACTCCCCATCCCTCTGATCCACTGCTTTCCCTCCACCATTGTGTGGCTCATGCACAGACCGGCACCAAGCCTGACACCAAAGTACACTAGAACTGGGATTGTGCCAGTATTCTCAGTGGGGTGGGTGAACTATTTGGTGTTCTGGTCTGACTACATTTGTGAGTATCTTCAGAGAATCTTTTAAAAATTGTGCACTGGAATAGTAAATATGCCTCACAAAGGTCCTTTTGAGGTAAGAAACATGTGAGGAAAAGCAGCAGAATTACAGTGGTTTCTAATCACTGTTTGCCACAATGTGATTTACCTGTCACAACCAAAAAGAATTGGTTTGATTTGTGCCAGGGTATAACTCTAAGTACAGTCTTTCACCTATTGAGGTAAATGGCCAAATTCCCTGGAAGTTCAGTAAGAACAGGACCAGCTCCTTTTTCATAAATACTTTTGAGGAATAAAGTGTTCTTGTTCATGGAGGGGGATTTTTAATTATATATTTTAAGGTATGTGAGACGTTGCCTGCCTCCAAATGCACGTGGATTTTGAATAAGCTGAAAATCTTCCATGTGCTATTCATGACCTTATAAATCTCTTATGTAAAACTCATGTAAAATTGCTGTTGTCTTTCCCCTTTTGCAGTATCGTCTTCCCAGTATCTTGCCCATAATTACTGATGGCTGAATGGAGATGATGGCTGAATGGCGTTTTCTTTGGATCCCTTCAGTGGGTGGAAGATCCCTGCGTTCCCTGAATCATAGGTTTCTCACTTGGCAATTTTTAGGCTCAGGTTTTATATTAGTTTTGCATGTTTCAGAGTAAGTGCATGACTTTCCCCCCAGTCTCTTGTTCTCATACAGAAATCTTAGCGTAAACACAATTCTGTTGATAGAAAAGTACCTTATAGTTATATAATTGGCTTCTCTTCCCATCTGAAATATACTTTGCCTGTACAAAGCGCCTTTATATTAATAGAAATGTGCCCACAAGTAGGGCTTGTCATTTTCACTATACCAGCAAAATCAAAAGCAGTATGTAGACAGGATTTTATTGTGAATTGGGACAGTTAAACAGGGAAAAAGTGGCTTGTATAGTAGAGCAGATGACTGAATATTATTCAGTTTGGTAAGTGTATCTCAGCATTACCAGAAAAATAATAAAGTCAACCTGGAGAAAGAATACATGTGTATATGTTTGGTGTGTGTCTCCCCTTCTTCAGATTCTCAATTTTATGCATCTCTTACCAAAAAGTCATATGAAATATTTCTGCAGATGAGGTTTTTGTAAGTGTTTATGTTGTATAGCCGTCAAGCCTTTTGGGCTTGCACCATCAGAGACTAATGGCAATGTTACGAAACTCAGGAGAATGAAACCTGAAGGGATATTTAGTGAAAGGTATTTAAGTTTCTTAGTCCCTTGATTTAGTTTACAGAAACTTGGATGATGAGTTAGACACCTTTCAGTTGAGGCACTGAGGCTAAGCACAAATACTTTATCAAACTGTGTTTGCTGTGTTTTGATCTTCATGGACTCTTTCAAGAAGAACCAGAAAAGCTCACAGCTAGGGAACATTCCTGCCCTCTCCCTTACATATAGTAGCTGTGCAATCCTGCAGCCCACTGGATCAGTTTACTGATCTGATAGCGAGCTAGCCCTTCCCTGGTGGGGGAGGAGAGATGAATTGCTCCTTGCAGGAGCAATCCCTGGTTAGGTTAGACTGAGAGTAAAATGACATTGCACCCTTAGCTGCTGCTTGTTTGTAAACAAGAGTAAGGACCAGTGGAACTTTGTGGTGCTGCTCTGACATCTTGTAGTTTGCTGCGAGTTGGGAGGAGCTATTTTGAGTGTCGGTCGGCAGAATGAAGAGTACTGAGTTTGAAAAGTAGCTTCTAATTTCAAAGATAATTCCTTATATCAGGATAACTGTTAATTCTTTGTCTCTAGTGGGGGGCAGAATAGACTGCACAATATTATAGATTTTTTTCCTTTGCTCTCTAAATTTCTGCTGCTTTCTGTGTGAAGGATGAATGGTTGAAAATTAATACATCAGTTTCACACACTAGCAAATACATTATTTGTCTGATTTTATGCCTGTCTTCATACCAATGTCTCCTTACTGATCACCCATTGGAAGAGAAAAAAAATCTGTCTTCATGGAGAAAGTTTGCAGTATTATCTCCAGTGAAAACAGTGATAGCCATTTAAATCACATTTAGTTCAATCCAGAAGAACAGAATCCCCAAACTTGCAATGAGAGATTACTCAAATATTTGGTTAGAAAAAGATTATACAAGTGCAAACAATCTTGCCCTGCATGCTTGGAGCTTGCACATACAGCTTTTGGGGATGTGTAGCAGGGAGCGTGTGTATAAATATATATACATGGACTGTAGGAGAGTATCTGTGTTGCCAAGGCTGTTGGTGGGAGAAGAGGCATTTGATAAACTGCTGTCAAACTGACATAATAAAATCCAACATATGATCCTTGAGTAAAAGTTTAAGCAGTGTAGGTTCCTTTTGTATCTGAACTCATGATGAGTAATGGAACATTTTTCCCCCGCTGTGTCCGAAGCCGCATGTGAATTTTCAGAGCCTTCAAATCCTGTGCAAAGCGCTCACAACTGAGTGCAATATTCCCGAATTTATGTGGGGATACACCAGGAAGTCACTTGTGTTTCCTGGCTGACTCTTATAATCCGTGTTGCTTTGTGTTTTTCCGTGGGTTTGCTCCCACCACACTTCTTGTGTACGTTATCCCTGTTGAAACCCCTGTTCAGTCCCCAGGCTTGCCAGTCTCCTCTGTGTTTCCTCCTCCCTTGTATTCTCTGCTTCTAGCTGCGGTTTCTTACAGCCCTGGCGCCTCCTTGCTGCGGCGTTGCATCTCATTAAGTGTTTCAGGTTCTCACTGCCACCCCCAACATGCTGTTAACACAGCTTTAGCTGACAGCTATGTTGTTGTAATGGAAGTCAGCAGGCAATATCAACATCTTATTTTAGTCGCTTGTGTATTTGCAAGTGCAAGCTGTTATGCTGAAAATGTTCACATAAATACCTGCCTAATTCTACCAGTAAGGTTTCAGCATCCGTCACTTCATTGCTTCTTAAGGTCAAGTTTCAGATGGGCAGAGCTGACTGAACCACTTGCTGACAAAGAATGGGTAGGTTCTTGTCTTCTTTTGCTGCAACTCTGGTGCTTATCTGACCTCTCAGTGAGCTGGTTAAGCTCCTAACCAATAAAATAGCAAAAAGATCTAAAAAGCTGGATTGATTTTGTTTGTTTCCTGCTTCATTTTAGGGAGCTGAATCAACTTACTGGGAGGGTGAGAGGAAGGGGAAGTACCACTTCAAAAGCAGGTGTATGTTGAAGATCAGTAAGCTGCTGGGCCAAAGATTAAGCTTTTTCACCCTTTGCTTGTGAAGAGCAATTTCCTTTTGTCAGAAAGTAAACTTGAAATAGTTGAATTGTCTTTTCCTATCCTTGTTCAAAACCAAAATAAAATAATCTTGCACCAAATTTGGTACTTAGATTTCTGAAATCTCTTTTGCTGAGATCAGTAGAGAGGGCTGTTGAAGACTGACACTAAAATCTGTTCTTGGCTTCATGAAGGAAGGCTGCAGTCCTCCAGCTGAACTAGCCCTTCTTGGATCTGGGCTCTTGCTATCTCTGTTCCTCCTGAGGACCAGCAGCTGCTGGTGTGTGGCACCTGAACACAGACGATGGGAGATTTTTCTGTTATGCTCCTACTGTTTCCTTGATGTCATGCATACATCATGGAATTGAAGAGGAAAAAGCTTTGTTTCCAGTGAGTAGCAAAGACGGTTGGAAAAGAATGGTTGGAGAGAATAGAAGCAGATTATCTGGAGGAAAGACCTTAGGTAGTTAATGGCAAAATAATCTTCGGCTGAGGAAGTATGAGTCCTCAAACACCTGTAATCACATCTAGTATTCAAGAGACTGCCATAGTTATGTTATCTGCAGATAACAGGCTAGGCACACCTTTTGTGTCAGGCTGAGTACAGGGAGCCAAGCATTGGCTGTGAGGACAAACTGTTGTAAGGAGTTTTTGTCTTCCTGTGGCTGCTCCACTACCACAATTTGCTGCCTCTTCAGTTATGCCAATGCAATTGTTCTTGAGATTGTGGTTTAATATAAAAATTGACCAGCATTGGAAAAGAAACAGTATTTGGGTTTTTTATTTATTATCTGATCTGCTGTGTAAAACATGCCTGCAAATATTTGTACTGGCAGGGCTGAAGAAGTGAACTGCAGTGTGCAGTCTTTGATCAACTTTGTTATTGAAAAGTGCTCATGTAGTGAAATTTTAATTCAGTGTACATTTGCTGTGGTAGTCTTTGGGGGTTTTTTTGTATCTAAGTATTTCAGGCTTTCAGTTGATCTGTGTAAACATCTTAAAATGGTTCTGCAAACCAGTTCTGGTTTGGTTCTTGAAGTATCATAGCTTGTTTTATTTCTGACTGTTACATTTAAAGGCTATTAAGCTGAAAGTCAAGCACTTGAATTAGGAAATTCCAGGATTAATGCTGCCTTTGCAGGATTAAATTGGTCCCTTGTCATTTGTGTATGTTGCAGCCTTGGTTACTGTTAAAGTGACAGAGTTATATTGTACAAAAGGGTCCTGCCTCCTTCACCTCACAGAAGACACTGCTCTGAGAATGAAAGGGAGGATTGTAGTAGAATGCTTATCCCTGTCTTATTTAATGTAATAAATTGAAGGTGTCCTGTGAATAAAAAGGAGAATGTGGAAGAAGGATGCGTGACTTGGATTCTGCTTTAGACCTGCAGATATTACACCTGTCTCTACTAATAGCATTACTGGTTTGTGATGGACTGTTGTGAGGAACACATAGTAATTACATGGTGTTTACTCTGTGAGTGTCTTACACAAAACACAAGGCCTGGGTAGCGCAAATTAAAATGAAATATTTGAAAATATTTCAAAACATTTGACTAACATATTCCTTTCCTACTGTGTTCTTGAAGTATGGGTTCTACAGCTGCTTCTGTTGGATGTCTCTGTAATACTGCTTCAATTCAAATCTCCTTCTTAAGCATACTATTCATCTATTACCTCCATATCCTATGCTACAACTTGCATCCCAGATGAGTCTCTTGAGTTTGCAAATTCAGTTTCTTTCAGATGAAGCTAAGAGAAAAGATGCATGCCTGGAACACTTGTTCTAGTAACACTCCGCGTGTTAATGCATGCTTAGGCCATGACACTGGATTAGAGCCAGTCAGACTCCACCACTTTATATTGCAGTGGCATCCACAAAGGAGATGGGTAGCACTGACAGTACTTCTAAGCAAAACATAGAAAGCCAACTAAGTCAGATTGGTTTCTCAAATTCATAGAAGCTTGACTCCTCTGAGTTTTTTAGGGGGGTTGGGGAAATTATGCATTGTAACTCTGATGTGAATTAAGGATAAATTAGTGTTTATGAAACGATACTGCAAAGCACTGGAACACTCAGTACCAATCGAGTGAGGAAACAGAATTCTGCTTTTGCTATAATCATAATGCTGTTAAGTCATTCAGACAAGGTAGTTTGAGACGTAGAAGTGGTAGCTTAGCCCTATGGTATGATCAATGCCCCGAGACTCTGAATGCAGCACACTTTAAGTCATTTCTCAATAATACCGATTTAGACTTCAATCACTTACTTGTATCCATTAGCTGTAAAATTTACCACCCTCATTAATCAAAGGGTTATAGCTTCTTAATATTGTTTTTTATTATCAATTTTCCTTGTGAGCTGATGAATAGTGAAACCTTTTTGTTGTAGCGGCATACATCATGTATAAACTATAAACTAAAGAGTAGTTTCTCAAATCAGCTGTGAAAGAAGAGAATTGCTTCAATCAGACATACCACTGGCTTGTTTTACTACCACCATGGAGGAAGATAGTGTAAAATTCTTAAAGGTTAACTTGAACAGAATTGTAAGTGCATCCATGAGAAAAGAAATTTGATATTGCTGATTTCTCTGTGTCTGCGCATGCGCACAGATAATACAAATTTAAATTAGTGTCCCAGAAGTTCTTGGTTTAAACCAACTTAAAGATTAAAACCTGAGTCTCTTCTTTTGTTAAGATCTAATTAGTAGCAGTGTACTGAGTTCCTGACATATCCTGCAGTATGGAGCAGGTTGTGTTTTGAAGCATATGGAAACGGAGATTTCTGCACTGCAGTTTAATTTGTGCTTAGTATACTCTTGGATGCATCTGAGGATAGCTGTTCCTCAACTTTATGGGTTGTGGGCATAAAGTGCTCTTATTTTAATGAATAAAACAAAGTTAGAATAAAGCAATGCAGGGATACTTCAGTTATAATTGTGTCATTTCTAAGAAACCAGATCCTGTCAGTGCAGCTATAAGTGACATATTTGATAGCTAGAAGTATATGTTAACAATGCTGATTAAGCATAAGCAAACATGATGAATGAATCTAGATTACAGACAATAATCCTCCTTTCTTGTCCCTTCCCAGTATTGTTCTTTCCATCATCCTATTAAAAATGATAACAAAATCCTGTTAATTTGTTTAGTCAGCAGGAAACTGACAGAGTTACTTAACCTCAGAAAAGGGGCTTGGCGTAACTGAGCTTTAGATATCTGATCCAGATAGTTTATCAATGTTTGTCAAGATAGATCTTCATAAAGCTAAAGCTGAGAAGATGATAGTGAAAGGATTGAACTGTTCCGTCATGTGGACAGATGTATTGCTGGAAGACAACACAGTCCACCAGTTAGTTACGTGTAATATTCTGGTTGTAAAATGAGTATTTAGCACTGTATTTGAAAGCGGGCACATGAGGTGGTTCTTCTCATGGCTGTGGTAACAGTTTTATTCTAATTCTCATAGCTTTCCTCCAGACAAGATGCTTTCTTCAGCACTGTTGATGTTGGGTTAGCCAGTTTATGAAATACAAAGGGATTAGGTGTGTTTCCTTTAATCTCTAACAACAGTCACAAGAGGTAACCTACAGCTTCTTTTTTGTTGTTGTTCTTTTTCAGAAACACCAGAATCATGGAGGGGCTCTTGCATTACATAAATCCAGCACATGCTATTTCACTTCTAAGCACACTGAATGAGGAGCGTCTAAAGGGACAGCTGTGTGATGTTGTTCTCATTGTAGGAGATCAGAAATTTCGAGCTCATAAAAACGTTCTGGCTGCCAGCAGTGAATACTTCCAGACTCTGTTCACGAATAAGGAGAATGAGTCTCAGTCAGTGTTTCAACTTGATTTTTGTGAGCCAGATGCTTTTGATAATGTATTAAACTACATTTATTCTTCATCCTTGTTCATTGAGAAAGGCAGTCTTGCAGCTGTGCAAGAACTGGGATACAGTCTTGGAATATCCTTTCTTACAAACATTGTTTCTAAGAGTCCTCAAGCTCCTTTTCCTGCTTGCCCTATGAAAAAGGTACTGTATCAAGATGAAGATGAAAGTAGTTCTCAGAAGAGAAGTGTCATTGTCTGTCAGAACAGAATTGAAGCACAAGTGAAAGGTATAAATCAAACACAACATGATTTAAGCCATACTTCTAAACCTTCATCCTCCGTTGCTGTCAAAACTAGCAGTAGACCACAAGTAACAAAACCAGCTGAAACCCTTCACAACTTGTCACTGACTGAAAGGAGATGGCTGAAAGAAAGCCCTGTGAGCTGTACCAAGGTTCATGAAACTTCTGGAACTGTGGAGGATCAGAGCAGAGGTGGTTTACTGAAAAGGAACACAGTACTCCCTCAAATGCCTTTAGCAGAAAAAGAAATTGCAAGTGATGAACCAGGAAGCAGTGGTCAGCTTTTAAGAGGAAAGGCTGCAGAGATGTCATTAAAAAGATCACGCCCACCAGTCTTGTCTCTACGCGGTACATCAGAATCTACGTTTTTGTTGCGAGAGGCAGGAAAAGGAAATTTTCAAGGTGAAGACAGGAATTTGCTATACTACTCAAAGTTAGGGCTAGTAATCCCATCTAGTGGATCTCGTCCAGAAAACCAAAGTATTGACAGAAGTGGGCCACTTGTAAAAAGTCTCCTTCGAAGATCACTGTCCATGGACAGCCAGGTTCCCATTTACTCACCTTCTGTTGACCTAAAACCTTCACAGGTATCATCATCCTCCTCACTGGGAACTAATGATGCCCAGAAGACATTTAATGTTGTATCTCAAAAGTCATCCTTGAAAGAGTCATCAGAGAAATTAGTCGTAGATGAAAAACCACAGGTAATACACCCACATCGCCTTAGGTCTTTCAGTGCCTCTCAGTCAACTGATAGGGAGATTGCTTCTCCTCTCACAGAGGTGCGAATAAAAACTGAACCTAGCAGTCCACTTTCAGATCCTGCTGAAATAATAAGAGTTACAGTGGGTGATGCTTCAGCATTGGCAAATAAAGACTTTTCTTTTAAAACTGAGGATGATCATAAGGAATCAAGTAGCCTTCCAGCAAAAAGGAGATTTCAAGCTGATAGAACAATACCATTCAAGAAACTGAAGGCAGATGAGCAGGGTTCTCCTAGGTCAGAAGATAACTTTGAGGAAGGCTCTAGTTCTACACACCTTGATGCTGATTTTCCTGATTCTGATGTCAGTAAAGATGAATACAGTGAGTTGGAAGAAGCAAGACCAAATAAAAAATTTAAATGCAAGCACTGCCTTAAAATTTTCAGGTCAACAGCAGGTCTTCATCGTCATGTTAACATGTATCATAATCCAGAGAAGCCCTATGCTTGTGACATATGCCACAAGAGATTTCACACAAATTTCAAAGTGTGGACGCACTGCCAGACACAACATGGAATTGTGAAGAATCCCTCACCAGCTTCCAGTTCGCATGCTGTTTTGGATGAAAAATTCCAAAGAAAACTGATTGATATAGTGAGAGAGAGAGAAATTAAGAAGGCTCTAATCGTTAAACTAAGACGTGGCAAGCAAGGTTTTCAGGGACAGTCTGCTTCACAAGCACAACAAGTCATCAAAAGGAATTTAAGATCGAGAACCAAAGGAGCCTATATTTGTACCTATTGTGGGAAAGCGTTTCGTTTCCTCTCACAATTTAAGCAGCACATAAAAATGCACCCAGGGGAGAAACCAATTGGAGGAAATAAGGCTCTTAAGCAGAAAGATCATATTCATATTGAAAGTCCAGCAGAAAACAAAGAGGTTTATCAGTGTCGTCTTTGCAATGCTAAGCTCTCTTCACTTATTGAACAGGGAAATCATGAGCGACTCTGTAGAAATGCTACTGTCTGTCCTTACTGCAGCCTTAGGTTTTCTTCTCCAGAGCTGAAGCATGAGCATGAAAGCAAGTGTGAATACAAGAAGCTTACTTGTCTTGAGTGTATGCGTACCTTTAAATCATCCTTTAGTATTTGGCGTCATCAAGTTGAAGTTCATAATCAAAACACAATGGCTCCATCAGAGAACTTTTCTTTACCTATCCTGGATCACAATGGTGAAATAACTAGCTCATCAAGATTGCCTCCTCAGGCAGAATCCAATAAAATGAACAATTTTGTTACTGCAAAGGAAGACAGTGTGTTCAGTGATTCGTCAGAACAAATAAATTTTGATTCTGAAGATTCCTCGTGCCTACCCGAAGACCTGAGTGTTTCCAAGCAGTTTAAAATTCAGATCAAAGAAGAGCCTGCGGATGATATAGAGGATGAGGTCACCGAAACAAGCAGGGAGCCAAAGGAAGTAGTCTCCAACAAAGATGCTGGTTTGTGGCCCTGTGAAAAGTGTGGGAAGATTTTCACTGTACGCAAACAGCTGGAGCGTCACCAAGAGCTCTTATGCTCTGTGAAGCCATTTATTTGTCACGTGTGTAACAAGGCCTTCCGAACCAACTTCCGGCTGTGGAGTCACTTCCAGTCTCATATGTCACAGGCTGCAGAAGAGTCCGCAAATAAGGAGCCTGAGATATGTCCACCAGCTAATTCTCCATCACCCCCACCCTTACCTCCACCCCCACCCCTCCCCAAAATCCAGCCTTTGGAGCCTGATAGTCCGACAGGCTTATCTGAAAGCTCCACTACTACTGAAAAATTGTTTGTACCACAGGAGTCAGATACACTCTTCTATCATGCTCCACCACTCTCAGCAATCACTTTCAAAAGACAGTACATGTGTAAACTCTGTCACAGGACTTTCAAGACTGCTTTTAGTCTTTGGAGCCATGAACAGACACACAATTAGCTTTAACAGATAAGTTTAAAAGGTGGTTCATTGGAGGCTGTGTTCAGGATCTCAGATGTATGCCATATAAACTAGAAATTCAAGAGGATCAAAATGACAACAAGGATGATGAAAAATTTGGAATTTGTGATGCTGCTTTGATTTGAAGATTAAGGTAAACCAACTTGGTTAATAGATAGAAAGCAGAATAATTTAAAATACTGTGGTCTGGGATCTAATAGTAACAGAATGATTTTTATTTCATTTAACGCTGAAATGCGATCACATCTGGATTGTATGCATGGATCTTCATCCTGTGATGTTGGTGTGTGCGTGTGTATTATATATGAAGTTATATATTAAATGAAAGAGTAACAACAATTTGGAGTCTAACTGTGAGTTTATAGTAGTGAAATACTGTAACCAACTTCATTATTTTATGGGTTTTTTTTAAGAAATCAACACATGAGCTCCATATAAATACTTGCCATGCACTTGCAGTTAGGGAGGAAGTGGATGGAGTGTCTTGCTGGATTGACTTAGGTCTTAGAAACCTTTAGCAATAACAAAGAAACCTCAAGTTTGAGTAATCCTGATGTTATAGGATACAAATGTGTGATATTTTAAGGGAACATAGGATTGTTTTTTTGTTATATGGAAGTTGTGCAGATTAAAATAGAAAGTCAGCAATATTATTATTAAGATTTTATATAAAAAGTAGCAGCAAGCCTGCTTTCAGCCATTTAATTATATGTTTCTAAGGAAAATTGGGAGGGAGGGTGTACTTTGCTTTCAGTAATGTCCAAAGACTAATTTACTACAGATACTTTGGTAGTTGAAGTCGTATTAACAGCCATCATAATGCAAATGGTACTGTTTATAATATGAACTAAGATTGAATGGATGTCAAACAAGTTTCATAATTTTGTTTCCACTATTTGTACAACTGTTTGTAATTCTAACTACAAAGGAATGTATAAGTATTAAATCAAAAAAAGAGAGCTCATTAAGGGACAGAAGATGAGTTCTGTTCCTACACAGAGTAATAAGCTTGGCCATAAGTACGAAGATATGTTTTAATATAAACTAAAAATGTAAATATTTATATAGACACCTGTATAAATGAAGAAGTATGTATTTGAAATTTGTATTAAGCATACATATCCAGCTCAAAGCAGAGGAAAAAGCATCACACTACAATCACTGCATTTTATGAATACAGTGCATAGAATATTTCTTTCTGACGCTTTCTCTCATGTGTGATACTGTGTTGCAGTTTTCTGATTTGTTGAAAATCATGGTAATTATCGGATGCAGGTATTCTGTGTGGTTCTGTTATTTTACCTCAAATCAACTGGAGTGTTTAGTATGAGATCATTGATATTTACCAGAAGCTATAGTAAGGGTCCAAAATTATTCTGTAAGTAAAAGAAATATTTACCCAGAAGTAGGTGGGAAACTAACGGTGAAAGATTCTTCTACTAGAATTTAAACTGGGTGGAGTGGTGATGAATTAAAGTGAACATAAATGATGCAAACAGTGTTTATGATCCTGACCAACTTTACCCTGTGTGGGTTGGGATAAGGGATTTGCATTCCACACTACATACTCTTGAGTCCAGTCTGTGTTTGCTGAAAACAACAGGATTTTGGTCATGAGTTCCAGGGGAAGCAAGAAAGAATCTTTAATTTCAGCATCTCAAGTAAGAAGAATTGCAAGCTGATACAAAGATTTAGCAAAATCAAGCACAAATATAACTCCTAAGAATTTGAAGATGGGAATCCTTAGTTAGGCACATGCAGGAGGAGATTCTTTTCTCAGTGAAAGCCCAAGTGTGTCAGAGCACACAGGTTTTTTAATCATTATTTTTCCTGTAAGTTAAATTTAAAAGAATTGGCTCAGGATGGACCCCTGACGTTTTTTCAGCTACCAAAATATTGCAGTGTTGCTTTCAAGCCTCTTCTGTTTCATTTGTGTTTAAAATTGTTACAGAACACTTCTAATAGTAATGCGTTATTCTTTTTTGTGGTCCTCTTTCAGGCAAATTATACCTGAACATGATTACGCTAATTTGTTAGAATATCAGTTAAACTCTTTTGGTGACATTGCAATTAAAACAAGGTACTTGTTTAATAGTGACATTTCTAGTTACAGACTTTTTTATTTCACCTAATTAAGACTAAATCTCTTTCTTACCAGAAATAATTTCAGAACAAGTTTATTGCACTTCACCTGGTTTAATAAAATCAGAAAAACATAAAGCTTCCCTAAGTATCCTTTAAATGTATTTAAGAAATCTGTGCATATAAAATATAATCATGGGGTGGGTTTTTTTTAATGGTTCCTAAGTTTTCACCAATGATTCCTCTACACAACAGTCTGCAAATTTATATGTAGCCTTTTAAAAATCAGTGTGCTTTCTGAAGCAAGATGGCAACTAGGTCAGCTGCGTCATAGTCATCTAACTTCCAACTGGAATTCTGCTATGTAATACAATGATAAATTTCACACACTTAAATGGAAAGCTTGTGCAACAGCTTTGAAGGAACCTTGACGTTTTTCCTAGTACACTATGTGTTATAAAAAAATACATAAAATATTTTGGTCTAAGTAGCCTCTTTCTAAGGGTTTGGGGGGGGGGGGTTGTTTGAAATTTTTTTTGAGCTGTGTGGGTTGGGTTTGTTTTGTTTTTTTTTTAAATTCAGTTCCTGTTGTTTAATAAAGGAATTCAGGATCTCTGAAGTTTAAATAGGAGATATTTATATAGCAGTTGTGGTTTTCTATTAGCTTTTATACAGTATCTTAAAAAGCCCTTGATAGAAGTGTTTATTTTGGAGGATACCGAATAAATATGCTTCCACTTATATAACTTTAATATATGTTTTAAAACTTAAATTATGGAAAAAAATGTTAGTTGCTTGTTTATAAATAAAGGTCTTTTGAAGAGTGTCTAGTTTGGCCTCAGCCAAAATAAAAGGCAAATTTATTGATACAAAAGCCTGTCTTCATCATACTTTGTTTAATATTTTAGCTGTGTGCTAAAATGACACAAAGTTCGAGGTCTTGTTAAATATAAAAAGTGGTTTGCTTCTTAAATTTTGTGACAGGAATGTGCAGATGTTTTAATATATAGATTAGAATCTTTAATTCTTCATTTTTTTTGCTATTTTTATAATCTGTTTGGTGTATCTCAGAGGACTATCCTGCTTCAGTAGAAATACAGTGGGAAACGTTTTTTGCATTTAAGAGGAGCAGGGTTGAGCCATGAAACGTATTTTGATTTGATTGTTGTTGGTTTTTTTCTTTTCAGACACTGTGTTGGCAAAGTGTCTAAGTTAACTCCCTTTAAGATCAGTCTTAATTTTTTTAAAACATGTGCTTAAGCTCTTTGGTACATTGGGACCATGATCAACCTTGAAAGAGCAATGGCAGAAAATAGGTACAGAACCAAAAGTTTAAGTTAATTTTCCTCTACATAAAAACTGCATCTACAGCTAGGGTATAGTTCTGTAGTTTTATAAAAACAAAGGACATGAACCAGTAATAATAGAGTCTCTACTTTGGGGGAATTTTTTTTTTTTGTAAGGGGGAGTGACACACCCTCTGACAGTTAATTGGGCAGATAACCTGCTGAAGCAGTGGGTGACACTAGAATTTGTCTTAACGTGTTTCAAAAGGGAGATGTAGCCTTATCCATGAACCAAAACACAGCTCTAAAAGTCTTCTTCCTGCTTTTCCTGTTTAAGCAGGCCTTCTAGTGACATCCAGTAGGTTGTTTTTTTTTGTCTGATGTTTGTTTTTCCCCAAGTAAGACACGCAGGTTTGGTCTGAAGCTACGCGTACTCTTTGTTTCCAAGCTTCCAGTGATAAAACTAGAAGTTACTCACATGGGATAAGGACAGACTATGCCTACCTTTTTGGCACTAAACAGTGAGGGTGCAAATATCTGGCATAAGCCAGTAATCTGGCAGGTGCCTATACTGCTTAATAAAATTGTTTACATTTTCCTACTAGAAGATTTAGATAAAAATCAAAGAAAGCTTAAGGGTTTGGGATTTTGGGTTTGTTTGGTTTTTTTTTATGTTTCTGTTAATGAATCAGTGTTAAAAACTGTGTTGTTGTTTTTGTTGAACACAGCCTAATAGTATTTTTTTAATGTCATTGATTCGTGTTTATTTAAAATGACTTGTGGAAAACTGTACTATAACTGTTGTACATAAAGGGACACTATCAAGAGAAAGGTTGTATACAGTAAATGTACTTACCTGTAGTAAGAATACTTGATATTAATAAAATCAAAGAATTTAAAACCAGGGATTGAGTCATAACGAGCTGCTTTGGCTTCCTCAATTGTTGCAAGGATGTCTGAAAAATACATCTGAGTTCTGTGGGTTGAGCTTATTTTCCATGTTGCTTTTTCTCTCGCTATTCCAGAATAAAGGACTCAATCCATTTTTTGCTTTTCTGGTTCCTCAGACATACAAATTACCTTTTAAAGATGCAAGCTTCCCACTACTGGAGCAGCATCTTTAATTAAAACACGTACATAAAACCAGAACAAACTATCTTTTGCAATGTAACATGCAAAAAACATATAAAGTGCACATTTTAAGGCTTATTCTTGACAGTGTCCCTTTAAAAAAAAAGCCAGGAAAATGGGATCACTTTTAGTGCTTGGGTACAGAGGAATAGTTTCTTACAGTTTCTAGAAATTTGAATTACCCGATATATTTGCTATGGAGTTTTCCAGTTACACAAAAGCACTTGTCATTTTAAAGGATTATAGAGGTAAGACAAAAGAAGCTGGTTTTATAATCCTGTATACTTTACAGTCATTCTATATCTGTTCAATACCTGAGGATGGCTTTTTACTTTTTTTAGGAGTGAGACTTAATAGCTTAGGGTAACTTTTTCTTTAATGTAATGTAAATCCATTGCTGCTTTGTACAACTTTTTCTACTGTGTGTTTTCTTTACTTAGATCTTGACTAAGAAATGTTGGCGCCCAATAAACTTACACTTTGTTTCTTTTGAATTACTGTGTCTTATACTGGAATCTCTTGGCAAAGTGTGATGTTATTGTACATACCATTGTGTCTGCGGGATGGGAATTTTGTTTATAAAAGAACATCTTTTGATCTATTTGTTGGATGTAAATGGTATTTTTTACATCACTAAAATAATGGCTTTTTGTTTGTTTTAGTACATGCCCCACTGAACATTTTACTGGAAAATACAAGAAAACCAACTGCTCTAAACAATCTCAAAAAGTTGAGTACAGCCCAGATTCGGCTTCCTATTCAGAATGGAGCTTTCTGGAAGCAAGGTTAAATCAACTGAGTATCTCTTTCATCTAAAACTGGAGCAAGCCAGATGTTTGCAAATACATGGTCAGGAATGTTTATGGTATTTTGCAGTGCTCTCATCGAAAGCAGTTTTGCTGCATGTATTTCCCTCTTCAAAACCGCCTGGGTGTGGATTCCCATGATGCAGAAAACTGTCTTTTGGGAACAGGGTTTACTAGGCTTCTCTTTAAAGTAAATGAGACATGTTTGAGAACTCTTAGGCCAGTTTTCTCAACTTCTTGGCCTCCACAATGTCTATCCTTTGTGCAGTTTGGTTGAACCCATTGACCAACTTCACTCACATTTAACAGAGGAGACAAGGTCTCTCAAGTTAATCGTTAACAGGTTTCATAAAAATCACTGACTGAGTAGCAAAGAATGGTCTTAGTGGGAAGGACAAGATGTACATCAAGAGCATGTGCTGAGCAGTTATCTGTGGTTTTTATCCCAGCACTTGACATCCCAGTGTGTGCATGTGTACTATCTTGTCAGTGTAAGTGGGGCAATAGGTCAGGTGAAACATATGGCAGAGCTGCACTTCAGAAGTCAGGTGAGCTGTGGAAAAGGCAAAGAGAGGGCTGATAGCTGTTCTCTTAAGTTGTTCACAGAGTCATAAATCACCAAAGGTTTGGCTTCCTCTTTCTCCTTTCTGCATAGGGAACTCCTCCAGCTCTTTCCACATCCAGGTAACATCTATATACAGTCCTCTCTCTGTTACTGTTTCAGAGCAAACTAAGATCTACTTAAATGCTTCATAGAAAATGCCTCTGCTCTAGAGACCATGCAACCTATATTTGACATAAAAGCCAAAAAGCAAACCAAAATGATAAAAAGTTACTGATAATGCTGTAAGTTTTATGCCTATTTTCATGGTGGTTATAATTCCAGCTGTCTGCTTCTCAGACAGTGCTCTGCAAACAAATCCAGTAATGTTTACTTACTTTTCCCTTCACAGGATGTTTCCAGTTATCACCCTTTTTTTAATATACAAATACCAAGAGGATATTTTTTACTTCTTGTATTACAAGTAACCTATGTGGGTAATATTTGTTTCCAGTCCTGAAATACTCTGATAATAAGAATTTTCAAGGTCTTGGCTGCAGCAAAGCAATGTACACAACTTTTATTTCCCCTTCATACTACATGTGTTGAAAGAGTGTATCGAAAGCAAAGCCAGTTTCTGCTAACAAAGAATTTGCTTTAAATTGTCTCTGCAGTTTTGATACTATTCTTAACAGTTTATTAATGTCTTGTCAGTCCAGGGTCTAGGATGGATACAGCTCTTCAATATCATGGAGCCTGGCTGTAGACATTAGCTTAAGCTGGTATTTGTGGGTGCATGTTCTCATCTAGCAACATGCATCCCTACAGTGAGGTCCAGTGGTGTTAAAAACGAGGCAATGATGCCTTTTAAAAAAAGAGGCAAAGATGCTGTAACATCTGTGAAAAAGTTGAAGGGAAGAAAACTTCCCAAAAGATTGTTTAATACTATTTCCCTTACAATCTTGCCTTGGAGAAAGTTCAGATCCTTTTGGAGCACCCTTGCACATCACAAGGGCTTCACCAGGAGTGGCAATTATACCTATGGAGATACATTGACAGTTTCTCCCCCTTGCCACATAAAAGACTTCCTCTCTGTATGGCAGCCCAGGGCTGTGATTAACAAGGCAGCTGCTGTTTCCTGCTGCCTCTTCTTCACTCATCAATCGACTGAGCAGCCAAACACCATGAAAAGGAAACTTGACTTTGTTAGTTTGTATTCAGATTACTTGTCCCAGGATAAATTTGACTGAGGCATGTAAAAGCATGTAAACACATCTTTTAAAGGCATGAGAAAAAAACCCAACAAACTATACAAATACCAAACTGTTGCTCTGAGCAAGCCTGGAGGAGAATTACAGATACTAAAAATGAGATTTGAAATTGGGTGGGGTTTTTTAGCAAGCATTACTACAAGACTGAAAAGGGGGAGATCCACACAGAACCTTTGTTTTATAGAGATGATCCTATAATCTATTACGTACCTCTAACACTTGTGTGCATGCACTAGGAGGAGCCAGAAACAAAAGACTGAACCATCACATCCACCTGAAGAGCCACACTTGAAAGCATCACACCAAAGGCGAACCCTTCTCTATATCTATTTGTATGTATATAAAAATGCATCTGAGTGTGTTTAACTATGGCTCAGTTACACTGTAAGGGCCGAGTCTGGATAAAATTCCCTGTTAGGTCAAAGGCATGTTACAATACACTTTTGTCTAAAAGCTAGCTGTCTTCTCTGGAGTATTTTCACTGTTCTAGAAGGCAGCATGGATTCTGAGATTTTTCAAAAGCCTTTATTTCATACTCTTGCTACTGATTTCCTACAACATTGTTTGAAATGTGTTTGCTCTCAGTCTAATATTTGAAGATCTCTTTTAGTACTTAAGAAGTCCTTTCTTCTTTCTGATGCCCAGTGTTCCCAAAGGTAGTTGGGCTTAGTGTCCTCAAGCATGTGTGTGAGGGACATACGAGTGTTTGTACTGCATGGAAGAAGCACACATCCCTGGGAAGCCAGCAGCTCCTGGGCTGGAGCCTAAGATTCAGGAGAGGCAGGAATCTCTCCAGTAGTTCTTTGCTGCTTCTTCAGCTCTATCTTTGACATAAGAAGCCTTAACCAGTTGGGCACAATGTTAACTCTGAGGCTAAATTAACCCATAGGCAAGAAACGATGTAACTGGAATTACTCGTTGTGTCTATAGAGTGCCGTACTTGAGGAACGCAGGCCACAGTACTGCTCATGCGTATATCAGTCTCTCCATCCCAGCACCATCACCTCTGGTGATACTTGCGCTCTCTGGTGGAGAGAATAGAACTGGCTCCAGCAGGTGGAAATAAAAGAAGCTTCTCTATCATGTTTTAGTTTCTAAAAATTCACAGTATTTTAGTAAATGTATTTTCTAAAAGTAATCATCATAGAAAAAAATAATACTTTCAAACATGTTTTTCCTTCTTCCATTGCAGTGCCAGGTGCAAGTAGTAAAAGAAATAACCATCAATTCCAGACAAAACATCTGTTGCTAGTCTTTGTTCCTCTTGCAAACCCCTTACAAACAGACTATTTACTGGATATTGGAGAGAGGGAGAAGTGTGATCCTACAGAGAAAATAAAAACAGTTATAACAAAGTGATAAGAAACTTCTGTAATTAATGGGTAGAACACTGATATGTTGCAATGAATACTAACACCATGGTGCCATTGTACACCTTGATAGGCTGTAATTCTCCTGCATGAATGGCTTCAAAGAAAGTACAAGTATCCAAGGTGTACCAGCTTGGGTCCGTGGTTGCTCTAATAGAACTGAAACATGGCTTTGCAATTTTGCTTTATACCTGAATATGAACTTTGAAATGATGATTGGTCAAAATAAAACATTGTGACCCATTTCTTTTGAAACTTATCCTATTTGTCAATAATTATATTTTTGGGGCATAGTTGTTTTTTCAAGTTTTTTCTTTTTTTCTTTAGGAACAAGTGTGTGTATGAAAAACATCTATAATAAAAAGCTGTGAAAGCGATTTTCTGATCTAATGAAAAACTCAGTTCCTGGCAGTATGCTTTCTTAAGCATTTAAGAGATGTAGGTGTTCGGGCAAAGAAGAATCGAATGGCCTAAATGAATTGAAGTTTTTCTACTATGAGGTTGTGGTGGATGTATTACTCCTTGTTCAGTAGAGATTGGTGTTTGGACAGATTAGTATCCCCTGGTTTTGCAAAAGGACCAAAAATAAGAGCAGTTAGTCAAAGTGCAAGTCCAATAATGTCAAACCATGTCATCATCTCACAGCTTTTTTGCTATGGAGCAAGACTCCTCCGTTAAGAAGATGTTCTCTGGCAGACACGAGTTGGGAGGAGTTATTCCAGATCAAAAGCCAGCAGAGCTGGCCTCCTTCCCCCCACACTAGCACCTAGTTATGAAAGCTTGCTTAGTGCCACCTCCTGGGTGCCAGACTGCTGACCCTCTTCCAACAGGGCTTCTATGGGAATCCCACCTTGCCTTTATTCCAGCTCTTTGCACACTCTCAGACAACTGTTGCAAAGCAGGGGACAGTATCTCTGATATGTTGAGTCACATGAAACAAGATGGGTCATCTGGAAAGGGTCTACAGAGAACAAACTGGAGAGTACACAAGAAGGATGGCCAAATGGAGGAGCTCATCATCCAGCTTTAGCACTCCACCTCTTCTTGCCCCACAACTCCTGGGCAAATCCGGCAGTCAGCAGGTAGGAGAACATGCCTGCTACCTGCCTCTGGCACAGTAGGTAAAAGAGTGCAGGAGAGACTGAAATGCTACATGTGAAAAAGGAGATGGTCTCTTCTTCTGTAGAAGTAACATGCCAAGGGGTCACATTTCAGACATGAAGATTAACAGGTCTACTTCTGGCAGCTGACTTGCATGGTGGCATCACCTCAGGCTGACCATTACACCAGCAAAATTTCATTGTGAAGACATGGTTCTATGCACCTCACAGGTAAACCTGGCATCACACGGAGTCCTGGGACACTGGAAAAAACTCTGCTGGCCAAAGTGCACTTTTGCCAAACTAAGGATCTCTTACACTATTACACTGTCGTGACAAAGCACTTCTTTCAGACTTCATGTTAGACTGCATGCATGGCCTCTTATGAACCTTCTCTTTCTTTCACGTGTGTAAAAATTACTCTGGAGCTCAGAGACAAAGGATTATTGAGAAAAGTTTGGATTGATTTTATCTCTCTGCATTGTAATTTTATGAGTGATCATTTAATCACAGTGATTGAACCTACTGTGCTTTTTTCTTTCTTTTTTTTTTTTTGTCATTGTTCTGCTCACAGCTCTAAAAATTAAATTGATTAAGTAACTATGATCTCATCCTGCTCCCTTTGCTTATATGTATAATGCAGGATGCAGGATAGTCTCAGATGAGCACTTTGCAGACGCTAGCTCTGAGTGCATACCCTGTCGTGTCACACCCTGGTATACCCATTTGCCTGTGCCAAGTGTAAGCCACCATTCCTGCAAGAAATCTGGGAAGTTCAAACAAATAGTCAAAGTCCTAAAATTCTGCCCACATTCTGTTTGTGGGGTGAAAAAGAGCATCTCTGAACACATGCGTGATGAACCTGGCAGCACTAATTAACGGGTGAGAGTTCTTTGTTGTCCCTGTGCCTTCGGTAACTGCCATCACAACAATCTAACATAGACTAGGTCAGAGGAAGTACAGGGATGTAGCTGTCTTCTTGCCTTTCCAACACAGAGTGGAACAGTTAACAAAATTCATACTTCAAAGGACCAAGACAGGACGTGTATTAACCATGATGAATGATGCATCTGTAACTCTGTTGTTCCAGAACCTTGTAAAATCAACTCTGTATCAATCTCAGTCACTTTACATTATTTAAACTTGCTTTGCAACCATCACTGACAGAGCTATATACTTGCTAATTAAAAGAAAATATGGGAAATGCAGAAGTTGCTTAATAGAAATACAGCACACAGCAGAGCCTAGAAGCATGTCAGAATCACAGTTCCCAGCTTCAAAGTATATGGAATTATGAAAACCTAATTAGTTTAGTATATGGAATTATGAAAACCTAATTACTTTACTAATCGCATCCCCAGAGCTATGCTTTGATGGGCAAGATCCTGAACGTTCAGAGAGGGCCATTCCAAGTTCACAGGTGCACAAAAAGGGAAAATAATTAAATATAAATATTAGCTGCCACATCCTTTGGCTATACTTCAAAAGTAAAAATGTAAAATATTTCTAGTAACAAGATAGCTGTTAAAGTTCTGTTAGAGGAAACTGCCCTTAATAGTTCAGTGTAATCTTTTACACTTTCTTGTCATTTCATGTTCACTACTTGGACTCACAAAATTCCTGCCAGTGAAGGAAAATTCTCTGCATGGCATACGTGGGGAACTGAAACATGGGATAAGCTAAGGGCAGGTTTTCTGCCACAGCACAGTGCTGTATTAGAAATCCCTGAACTATCATCTGCAAACAAGCTGGTATAGCAAAGATACTGGTTTGGATCTTAAAATCAACCAGGCTAGTCAATCTAAGTCTCTCAGCAGGGTCAATTAACCTGTATAGAAAGCTGTGCTAGCATGCTAGCAATATGGCTCTGGTTGTGGATCTCTGGAGGTCTCAGCCCCTTGCTCCTTGGTATCACGTAGGTATCATGTAGGTATACTTGGTATCGTGTAGGCAGATGGCAGCTGGTCAGCGAATGGAGTGCAGGATTTCCCTGTCCCAAGCAAATACTTTAACTTATGAACAGCCTGTTCTTCTTACATAGGTACAGTCACCTAACTGCAGCAAATAAAGCCATGTTCTGGCCCTGTCAAGTTTGCAGCTTATAGGTGCAAATGCGGACAATGCATTTACAACACAAAATGATCAAACTGCTTATCAGGCAGTGATCTGTTCTTCCTCCCAGAGGCCTAGCCCCAACATTCTAACGTACTGTATTAAATGTTGATGGAACAGCCTTTCGGGTATCCCAGGCCCCAGAGAACAAGGTGGAAATCTGGAGCAAAGATTATTTACATTTAATGGAAAAGGATCAGGTCAGGGAATACTTCAGCAAACTGGACATATGGCCCCTGATGAGATGCACCCACAAGTGCTGAGGAAGCTGGAGATGCCATCACAAGGCCACTCTGTATCATCTTTGAATGACAGTAATGACTGGGATAAGTGGCCAAGGACTGGAGGAAGCAAATGCCACTCCTAACTTCATGAAAGGTAGGATGGAGGATGTTGAGACCTGAGACCAGTCATCCTCACCTTGACCTTGAGAAGGCGATGGAGCAGCTAATGCTGGACACCCCTTCCAGACACATGAAGAACAAGAAAGTCATCAGGAGAAGTCAACATGGTTTTACCAAGGGGAAGTCACACTTGATCGATTTCATAAACCTTACAATGAAATTAGTGGCTTGGTAGATGAGGGGGGAGAGTAGATACTGTCTACCCAGGCTTCTGACACTGTCACACATGTGGAGCAAGAACTTACAGTGACATTTCACTACCAACCTCTGTGATTTAATCACTGGTTGCTTGAGCATGTCAGTTGGGCAAAAAATACAAGTGAGGTTCCTTGGGTGGGAGCTGCCATGGGTAAGGAAAGAAACAAAGCAGGCAAAGGAAAGCACAAGAAAAATGAGGACACAAATAGCGATGAGCTGATAAGGTAGCACTCTGAAAACCAAACAGGGACTTAACTAAAAATGAGTGTGACAGAAATAAATTATCACAAAACTTTTCTTTACTATCAAAAGGCAATTTCCTCCCCTTTATTGCAAACCTCATACTGATAACAAGTCATTCAGCATGGCCTGCAGAAAGTACTCCGCTCTGAGTTTACACTCCAGGCTGCAAATCGTGGGGAAACACAGATTTTGGGGGATTTTTTTCTTCGTTCCAGTCAGTTTGACATCCTTGGCAGAGATGATGAAGCACCAGGAATTAAAAGGAAGCCCTTGGATAGGAAGTAGAGGGAACAATTAAATGCCTTGTAGTGTCCTCAGCTATTCCTGCAGTGCTGCGGAGGGGTGAGGAGGAAGAAGCAGATCACAGTCCTGCAAGTGCTACCCTGTTAGGTGAAGGGGTGCCTGCCTGAAATGCTCACCGAGAGGCAACGTGGCAGTTCTATCCACCTAGCTCTGTAATTCGCATGAACTAGGTGATTATGTCTCAGCCTCTGGAACACAAACATTACATCATCTTACTTTTGGGAAGGGGGGGAAGTCGGGTCTGTTTTGTAGCCGACTCCTGCTGCCCACTCGCAGGCGTTACCACGTTTATCTATTGTATGCAAAGACGTGAGGGGCTGTCCGCATTATTTTTCTCTTGCAGTCGTTGCTTGGTGTGCAAACGACATCAGTAAATAACATTGATATAAGGGGAAACGTTTTGTGGTAGGAAAACCAACATCAGTTA